TTGGGTTCCTCATGGATTAGAGCTCCAATCTTCGTGGTGATACTATGGAGATGGAATTCGTGTAGCTTAAACTATATTTTACGACCTTATTTATTCAATGTGGCTGAATATATGCTGACAATAGAGAGCATCCTGCCTGCCCCTGCCATACCAAAACCAGACGTGTTGGCTCATTTACTAAAAACTACACATAATGTCTTTAGGCTGTCGAAATCAGTGGTAGATGCACTTATGCTATTTTGTAGAAATATATGGAGTTTGCATGTTACAATTCAGAATCTAGCTTTCTCTACGTATTTGAACGCAAACAACTCGCATCCGAGTTTAGCTCTTCGGTCCATGAAATATGCTGTCATTGCTCCATTTTTAGCTGGCCCAACTGGCAAAAATCAGTTTTTAGACACAAAAGCACCTTGATGGAATCCGTACCAACAAGGTTGCTGGAGTTCCCATCTTACAATTTCGATTGCATAACTGCAGAGATTAGACATCCTTTTTCTTCTTCTCTTGTTAAATTGGTTTGATTTATTATTTTCTAATCTTGTGCTAATTGTGGGTGAATCAGAAGGCCATAGAACTTTTGCCACCTTCTTTTTCTGGTGCTATTTTTCATGTTGTTAAGGTTACATATTGCATACTTAATTGATGACATGTTTTTCTTTCAGGTTATGTGATCAATGCCATTTATGTAAGCTATAGGCATCAGTTCAAGTAGAACTTGATATTTATTTTGCATTTAAGTTAGTTATACTGACTCATGGTGAGAGATTTGAGCCGTTTCTTGTATATATACCAATGCAATCAATTTGTAAACATTAAAGAAACTTTTGCCAGTTACCTATCACATATTTGTGCTGGGGATTATGAGCAATATCATGTTCAATACATTGCTCTCTTTGCAGATGAAATTTGACTAAAAGGACGCCATGGAGAGGGTTGAGGTTGACGCGGACTTTGTTGTTGCTGGCAATTGGAAGGTAATCTGGCTGATCCCCAAATTCCACCAAAAGCTATTAATTCAGCAATGGTGATGAGATTGTAACCTTGCTGTTCTCTGTGGACTGTCTTTAGATATAGGAAGGCATTGAACACAGCTTCTGATCATTGACTCCACTTCCTATGTGCCTTGTGATGATTATGTAGTTATGTATATAAGCACTCTTGTGCTAGAAAATAAAATTGCATCCAGTAAATACCACCACCAGTTTGTATTGTACTCCCTCTGTTCACAAATACAAGATCTTTTGGATACTTCAATATGGATTACATACAGACTGAAATGGGAAAACAAGCAAACTACAACATGTCTATATACATCCAATTCATAAAAATGTTAAAACATCTTATATTTGTGAACGGAGGGAATATATGATAAGACTCTTCTGTGAGAACACTCTGATGTCACCAAACAGTAAGTTAGAAAACTGTGATAAACGCTGCTGTTTTTTTCTTACATTTCCTGTCTTTGACTCTGTCGTTGGAAGTACTTTGCTTATGCAATAATATGGCATATTAACATTGTAGATTCATTTGGATTGCTATTTGATTATTTGTGCAGCTACATGGTGAACTATGTAAGAAACTTTACACTGTAGTTCATGAAGTTTCAATTGCCATCCCTGCCCTTGAGAGTACAAAACCTGGAAGTAATTCTGGACTTCTGGCGTTGAGCTCCTTGCGCATAGCTGTTGATAAAGCCAAGAATCTACTTCAGTATTGCTCAGAGTGTAGCAAGCTTTACTTGGTAAATAATTTTCATTTGTATGAATATGCTTGCTCTCCATGTTTGAGAAGTAAAAGCTTATCAGACTATGTATACACGATCTGTTCTTTTACTGCACTGCTACATTATAAAATTGTTAATGCTAGTTGGACAATCTCGCTCATCAAACTTGGTGGATATGCCTGATGTTAGAGAACAATTTTTCTCATATTTCTGTTTCCTTTTACAGCAATGCAATGTTCTGTATTTAACGTGGTTATTGTATTGCAGGCCCTAACAGCAGAATGTGTTCTTACAAAATTTGAGAAAGCAAGATGCGCTCTTTTAGAAAGTCTTCACCAGTTGGAAGAAACACTTCCAGAAGCAATTAATTCTCAGGTTTTCACTGGTCATGTACAAACGTATTTCTAGAATTTCTACTACAGAATATAATGTTTCATCATGGACGGATTCACCATAAGCAGGGAGTTGTAGTTTTTTATATCATAGCATCGATTCTTCTTCACTACCTTGATGTAGTCGCTAATTGTTTTCTCATGTTTTTTTTTGCATGCCTATTCTTCAGATGATATATTTTTGGCGAAACCCTTCGATAATTATTTGTTGTTGGAAAATTTCAGATCCCAGAGATTGCAAATGAGCTGGAGAATTCAGTTTTTGCTTTGGATCAGGCTGAAAAGCAAGTTGGTGATCAAGTGAAACAGATAATTCAGAATGAGAAGAAATCCAATGGATTCCTTGATGACAATGAACTTGAATTCTTTCGGCAAACTATTTTGAGAGCTGGCATTACATCATCTGCTGCGGCTCTTACTGAGAGAAGAGCAATTAGAAGACTTCTTGAAAGAGCCCAGGCAGAAGAAGACACGAAGAAAGAATCAATAGCATCCTATCTGCTGCATCTTATGAGGAAATATTCAAGTCATTTCAGGAGCGAAACAATGGATTCCGTCAACTCCCAGTCCTCAAGTCCTTCGTGCTCCTTCACTTCAATATCCAGCTCAATTGATCTCCAAGGAAATCTCCCTTCTCTCGAGAAGCTCCTGCCTAGGTCTGGCTCCATCAATTTCAAGCAGATTAAAGGGCTATCAGGGAGCATGCCATTGCCACCTGAGGAACTAAGGTGTCCAATCTCTCTGCAGCTCATGTATGACCCTGTTGTTATCGCATCTGGTCAGACCTACGAGCGGGCTTGCATCGAGAAATGGTTTAACAGTGGGAATACAACCTGCCCCAAAACTCGGAAAGAGTTACCCCAGCTTTCCGTGACACCTAATTACTGCATCAAGGGTCTGATAACATCCTGGTGTGAACAAAATGGGGTTCCAGTTCCCTCCGCCCCTCCAGAATCTCCAAAGCTCAAATATTTGAGGATAACATCTCTAAAGAGTAGCAAATGCGTGGTGACGAATGGTGTTAGCACGATTTTGTTCGAAGACGCAGGCGCAAAAGACGCAAAAGACGACAAGTTGAACACCGATGTTGCTTTGGAGAAGTGCTCTAGCCATAATTCCAGGGAGGCGACATCTGAGACATGCGAAGAAGAAGAGGAGGTCTCTGTGGAGAAGTGCTCTTTTCAGAATAACCCTGTAGAGGCTGCACCCGAGAGATGTGAACGCTGGCTGCGTGTGCTAAGCAAGGGTGGTGAGTGCATCGATGAGCAGCGTGAGGTGGTCGAGCAGGTCAGGTTCCAGCTGAAGGGTGATGATGAGCTCAGGGACTATGTGGGTGCTAATGGTATTACCGAGCCACTCACCTGCTTCCTGAAGATGGCTCTCAGCAGAGAAGACGTGCAATCTCAGGAGGTCGGAACAATGGCACTTTTCAATCTTGCTGTCAGCAATAACAGGTAAATATCACATACAGATCATTCATTCCTGTTTCTTTCTCCTTCAAATCACAGTGTCAGAGAAAAGGCTCTTTGCAACAAGCATAGGTAGATCAGATGATCTTAGCTCAGTTCTTTGGCCTGATCATTTCAGCTCTATGTCTGCCCTGTAGGAACAAGCGGCAGCTGCTCTCAGCTGGAGTTATCCCTCTGATGGAGCAGATGATGCAGAAACCGGAGACCTGCGAGGCTGCGGTGGCGATGTACCTCAACCTGTCTTGCCTGGAGGAGGCGCAGGCCATCATCGGCTCGAGCGAAGTCATCCCTGTCCTGATCAGGTGCCTGCAAGAAGAAGGGTACCGGAGCGACACGTGCCGGCTGGACGCGCTCCTGACGCTGTACAACCTGTCCCTGCACGCGCCCAACATCCCGGCGCTCCTCTCGTCGGGCGTGGTCCACAGCATCCACACCGTCCTGGCGCCGTCGTTGCCGTGGACGGACCAGGCCCTGACCTTGCTGATCAACCTGGCGCTGAGCTGGCCCGGGAAGAAGGAGATCGCGGCGAACCAGGCCATCGTGGGCGACATCGTGTTCATCCTGGACAACGGCGAGGCGGCGGAGCAGGAGAAGGCGGTGTCGTGCCTGTGGATGATCTGCAACGGCGACGAGGGGTGCAGCCAGACGGTGCTGCAGGAGGGCGTGATCCCGGCGCTGGTGTCGCTGACGGCGAACGGCACGGGCAAGGCCAAGGACAAGGCGCAGAGGCTGCTCCGGCTGTTCCGGGAGCAGCGGCAGCGCGAGCTGGAGCAGCAGCAGCCGCGGGTGGAGCTGCTCGAGGTGGCCAGCCAGGCCGCCGCGCAGCAGGAACAGGAGGAGGAGGAGCAGCAGCAGCAGCAGCAACAGCAGGAGGATGCCGCTGCGGGGAAGACGGCGGCGTCCGAGCAGAGCGGCGAGGGCAAGAAGCCGCCGGCGCGGCTGAGCAGGTCCAAGTCCAAGCGGCTGGCCAGGGCCATCACCTGCCTCATCAAGAAGTGGACGACGCCAGGCGGCGGCGGCGGCGACAAGTGTAAACTGTAACCCTGTAGAATGTGTGGTGGTACTGTACCGTCACATTCACCAAAAATGTGTGCGCTCGTGAAGCTCCATGTGTAAAATACAACTAGCGAAATCGTACGGACGTTCAACTGCGACTGGGAGAAGAGAAGAGCTTCTTCTCCCGTCCGAGTAAAATAATTTTTAGTACGTGCTCCCGGAACAGCCGATGGCATAGCGATCGCGAAGGCGATGACGCAGAGCACTCGTCGTGGCATAACCAGGGCGCCGCCTCCGGTTTCGACCCACTGACTGGTCTACCCACCCCGTACCTACTAGTACTCCGCGGCTCCGATCGGCGACAGCGACGGGGAAAAACGACGAGCGGCTCCTCTCCCCATCCAAACCCCGAATCAAATGCTCACTTCCGCCACCGCCCCCTCCTCCTCCTGCTCGTCCCACGCTCCCACCCGCTTCGCCTCCGCGCGCGGGCGCCGCCTCCGCCCCGTGCTCGCCATGGCCGCCTCCGACGACCCCCGCGCCAGGTCGGTCGCCGTCATCGGCGCCGGCGTCAGGTGAGTCCACACGATTTCGCGCCGAATTCTCGGGTGGGGGTTTTGCGCTCGCGCACGTCAGGTGTTTGACGGAATGGTGACTCCGTGCAGTGGGCTCGTGGCGGCGTACAGGCTGAGGAAGAGCGGCGTGCGGGTCACCGTGTTCGAGGCGGAAGACCGCGCGGGAGGGAAGATACGGACCAACTCCGACGGCGGATTCCTCTGGGACGAAGGAGCCAACACTATGGTGAGCTCATTTCTGTTTGTGAATAACTTGTGGCGTTGTGTAGCGCTGTCTCTGTATGCCACGGATTGTGGCGAGTGTTGGAGCGAATGGTGCGACCTGTGTACATTATGGTTTACTGCTCCTTGTCGCAATTGCTTGCTAGTATATAAGAAGCATGTGTTTGTGTGTGCTGTTGGGGCATGCACTCCTCTCCTTATTAGAATTCAAAACTGAAATGGAACCTAGAAGATTAGCTGATGACATAACCTGATCCTGTCACCCGCAGACAGAAAGTGCATTGGAGGCTAGTAGACTAATCGACGATCTTGGTCTTGAGGACAGACTGCAGTATGTATGTGCCAATGCTATCTTCGAATAATTAGTTATGTTTGCATTCTGCATTGTCGTCTGTAAATTGTTCCCATCAATGAATTACCTTACAAGTTCAATGTCTATTTCAGCCTAACTCCCAGCACAAGCGTTATACTGTTAAGGATGGAGCGCCAGCACTGGTAAATAGGTTTTCCATGTAATCATGCATCTCCTTTTCCATTTTTCTTATTGTAGCTCACCCTTGAGTCTTCTCCTTTTTGTTCCATAAGATCCCTTCAGATCCCATCGCGCTAATGAAAAGCACTGTTCTTTCTACGAAATCAAAGGTATATCCTGCTATTTAGTACGAACTACTTCAGCCTACAGTACATGTTACATGGCACACTAACCCCTTCTAAATGAGTTATTTATTGCCAGTGCCACTGATAGATTGGAATGCATAACAAATACAAACATTTTATCGATTGCTAGTGTTAGTTTAGTGCCCACTACCATGACCTGAATTAGCTGGTTTCAGTAACTAATTGACAATTTGTAGATTCTCCAGGTCTTTTCCTTTCAAATTTGATTCTGCTCTGAATTCTTTCTTACCCTTGCAGTTCAAGTTCTTTCTGGAACCATTTCTCTATGAAAAATCTAGCACAAGGAACTCCAAAAAAGTGTCTGACGAGCATTTGCGCGAGAGGTGAACCTTCACACTTGGTGTTTTGCATTGGTGTAGATGCCAAATGCTAACAAGATAATAAATGGTGACCTTCCGTATGAAGTTTTTAGGATCCGAGAGGCTGTCTGGTACTCTAGTGTTCCTTAAGCCTCATCTGCTTGCAGTTCTATGTAGGGGAAAGGCATATATAGCGCACCATGACTGTTTGTAGTATGTATTATTTGTTTAAAGGAGATAATTGAATGTCCCTGTTTTGACAACTTTACAGCGTTGGGAGTTTTTTTGAACGCCATTTTGGGAAAGAGGTGAGTTCTTTCCTTACGGATCATCAGTAATTCAATCATATAGAGTTAAAAGCTCTGCAGCTCGTATTTTAACCAGCCATGGCTATGAATTTCCATGTTGATTACAGGTTGTTGACTATCTTATTGATCCATTTGTAGCTGGAACAAGTGCAGGAGATCCTGAGTCATTATCTGTAAGTTACTACTGCATTATGTGCACAAACACCATATGACCTTTCCATGTGATGCTTGCTTAATGTTGATAATCTAATAGTAATTATTATTCCAGACCATATCACCTTGTTAATTAACTGTACTGGCTTTGAGTAACAACTATTTTTTGCAGATTCGTCATGCATTTCCAGGGTTATGGAATTTAGAAAAGAAGTAAGTTTGTACATTTTTTTATTTGCTCGCAGTGATCTATTCTCACTTCTACATTTTCATTTGTTGTCTTGTCCATGTTTTTGCTTTTGCTATCTCCCATGCATTTTTTTATGTTACAGCATGTATATCAGTTTAACCTATGTAAAGATTCTACAAGTGAAAATGTCATTTTCAGATATCCTTGTTTCTTGCATTGCTTTCTTGGGTCCTGCTGTTAGCTTGTTACTGAACTGCCTTTCTTTTTCCCTGTTGGACTTCCTTGAATTGGGCATTGACGGAATGTTCACCCTTTAATACTGCTTATGTGTGCACTATCTATCTCCTTGTGTTTTCCTCTTTATTTGATATTCTGCTTTTCTCCAAATATTACTTTATTTTCTATTTTTACTGATGGAGTTGGACTAATTGGCCATGCAACAGAACTGATTAGTTTGAGAGAAATATTTCCTAATTATCCTGATAATATGCATCTTCTAGAACAAAAAATCATATTGTAATTTTCATGTAAGATAATATTTCCTAATTAGCCCAATAATATGCATCTTCCCGAAATCATACTGTAATTTTCATTTCGAGTGAAATATTTTCTAATTAGCCCGATGATATGCATCTTTTTGAACATCAATCCATGCCTATACAAATTGCCGACATAAATTATTATAAATATAAAGGGCTACAACACCATTATTCAGAAAAATGTTTGCTATCATGATAATAGATTTTGTACTAGTTTTTTTCAAATGGGACACACTACGTTTGCAGTTTCAACTTGTCATTTGCACTAAAGCATGTTGTTGTCGTAAATTTGGATAGCAACAATATTTGTTCCCAGTTATGGTGATTCACACTCCTTCAATGCTCTCAGGTATGGTTCTCTCATCGTCGGTGCCATCTTGTCAAAACTAACAGCTAAAGGTGATTCAGCAAAGAAAGGAGGCACTTCGTCAGGAAAAGGAAGGAGCAAGCGGGCCTCATTTTCATTTCATGGTGGTATGCAGGTATTCCTTCAATGGTGTCATGTCATTTCCTTTGTTAGTGTAAACAACATAAAAATAAAACCCGCGTATGGGCCCTATACCCTATTAACTCCATCTGTGTTCCCTAAAAAAGGAAAAACTCCATCTGTCCCATTTGAAAGAGCTGCATTTACTTGGCCACTGCAGGAATGGTTATTTTTGTGCCATTCAAGGATGCATGTTCACTCGATGAACCAGCATCACTATTTTATGTTTCACAAGCCAGGAATATTGCCATGTTTATATCCATTGTACAGCTTAGCGATCCATTTACACCCTGTCATGATCACTGCTGATTTCTGTATTGACTCGGCACAAGTTTATTAGCTTGCGGATATTAGTTAAAGCTATGTCAAACAAAAGCCCAAATATATGACCAAGTGTATGAATATGTTTAGCTACGTAGTTGTCGAGAAACAGTATTGCAAGATGAGAAATAAGTCAAAGGTAGCTATGATACAAGAGGACTAACATCACAAAATAGTTGCATGGTGGAATCACACAACATTCATGGCCAGTTTAGACTTTATCGAGCCACACACTAGAGGGGGTGTTGACGTATATGTGTATTGCCCAACCTTCTCCATCAGTTTGGATTTTTGGTTCTTCTCGTTGGTACATGAAATTTAATATGGTATCAAAGCCAAGAGGCCTTGGATTCAAGTCTCAGATTTTGCAATTTAAATGGAAATATTGCTTGCCCTCCTTCTGTCCACGTTTAGGCCTTACCAAGCCATGCAGGTGTTGTAGTATATGTGGTTTGTCCAACCTTTTCCATCCATCAGTTCAGACTTTTGATTCTACTGGTTGGTGCATAAAACTTAATATTCACATCTGTTTTTTAGAAGTCATATGTTGTTGAATGCTTTTCAGACACTAGTAGATGCACTTCACAAGGAAGTTGGAGATAGTAATGTGAAGCTTGGAACACAAGTGTTGTCATTGGCGTGTAACTGCGATGAACTCTCTGCATCAGATGGGTGGTCAATTTTTGTGGATTCAAAAGATGCTAGTAGTAAGGAGCTTGCAAAGAACCAGTCCTTTGATGCTGTTATAATGACAGTAAGAATCACTCATCTGCATTATTTTTCAAAGTTCATTTGATACACAATCTGGTAAATTTGCTTTCTGCCAATCTATAAAATATACTTAATATTTCTGCACTCACGCATGACTGGCTATTATTACTATTAAACGTAGGTCATAAAACCAAATTATGTACCTCTTGCATTTTCCCCTCTGCAGGCTCCACTGTCCAATGTCCAGAGGATGAAGTTCACAAAAGGTGGAGCTCCCTTTGTGCTAGACTTTCTTCCTAAGGTCAGGTTAGGATCACCATTTTAGATCAAATGCAATAATTGAAATGGTTGCTCTTGTAAAGAAATTGGTGCTAGGGGAAATTTGTCTCAATCCCTTCAGCAGTTCCATTTTTCTCAGGTCTATCACTACAAGAGCCATATTGCTGGTTTGTTTTTTTCCCATGGACAGGGGTGCGTGGAAGTTAGCTATCCACGTGCCAGAACCATGACTTGGTTTCGATATCTTATGGGTTTCAACTCTAGTCTACCCAACTTGTTTGGGACTGAAAGGCTTTCTTGTTGCTGTTTGTTGTTGCTTCTACATTTGCATGTACATGATTCATTCCCGTACCTTGTCACGAACGGATCTATGAAAATAGTAGTAGTTCAGTGATATGGTCTATTTCAGAAGGCGGACAGACTAACTGTATTTATTAATGCATGAAAAAGTAACTATATGAGAACAGTAGTAGATCAGTGATATGGTCTATTTCAGTATTCAGTGCTTTTGCTAGCACTTTAAGTAACTCCTGTTTCTGGACAAAATGAGTGACACATATTTTGGAAATATATTGGTAATTAAGAATATAAGCTAGACATACTGTACTCTGTTTTACTGACATGAATACATAATTGAAGTGAAGATGGTTATATTGCTTCTCCATCATCAAAGGATTCCTTGCTACGTGAATTTATATGATTTCAAGACAATGCCATAATGGAATCACATTTCCACTGTTAAGATACTCTGTTGTACCAGTACCACTGTAGCTATTATTTTATATTTTTCTTGATACATATGCACTTGGAGATCATATCACAACACCGTACTTAGTGTTGTTAGAGCCTGCGAGTTATTGTATCACAACATTGCATTTATGACCTATGAGATGTGGACTGATTTTGTTCTTTCTTTCTTTTTTGTAAAGATGTGTGACTGATGTCGTGTCATAAAATACACGGGCTTCTTATAACTTTACATGTGTAGCAGAATCTCATCTTAAGCCATATTTAATTTGTAGGTGGATTATCTGCCATTGTCCCTCATGGTAACAGCATTTAAGAAGGAAGACGTCAAAAGACCCCTGGAAGGATTTGGGGTCTTGATACCCTTTAAGGAACAACAAAAACATGGTTTGAAAACGCTTGGTAGGTTCCTCAGCTTTATACTTGAACTGTTTTCAATTTACAGAAGTACCATTGCACTCAGTTCGGTACACAAAACAATCTTGTTTTACCAGTTTTCGTGTACTCGTGATTAGTTTATTCTGATTTTATATTGCTTCATACTACATCTTTTTTCCCAGAACATAGCCTCATTTATACGTGCGTGACTGTTTCTTGTATAGGAACTCTCTTCTCCTCTATGATGTTCCCAGATCGAGCTCCTAATGACCAGTACTTGTTTACAACATTCATTGGGGGAAGCCACAATAGAGATCTCGCTGGAGCTCCAACGTAAAAACCTTTTGATCTTGTATTATGCTTCTTTTCTTATGCACATTATTCCAATTTTTTACTTCTGCAGGCCTATCTTGAAACGATTTGTGACATCTGACCTTACAAAGCTACTGGGGGTAAAGGGGCAGCCAACTTTTGTGAAGTAAGTATTCACGCATATCGGCCTATATGCTTTCCCTTCCTGTGCTTGTGTTGTGGTTTTCCATCTTCTAGGGAATTTCAGAATGTGCACAATTTGTTTCACTGTCTCATGCTCATGTAATTTATTAGTATTTCTTATGTTCCTCAGACATATACATTGGAGAAATGCTTTTCCTTTGTATGGCCATGATTATGATTCGGCACTGGAAGCTATAGGAAAGATGGAAAGTGATCTTCCAGGGTTCTTCTATGCAGGCAAGTCAATAAAGCCACCTTACTTTTGTTACTTCTCATGAAAATTTATGGTGCTCCTTGGTCTGCTGGAAATGAAGCTCTAACAAAAGAATGGACATCTAAAAACAGTCTCGTTGGAAATTTGTAGAGCAAGCAAACCAGAAATAGTAATCCCGCCAAGTGACTCTTAGATGTTAACTTATAACTTTAACTTTGGTGTCTTGTAGGAAATAACAAGGATGGGTTGGCTGTTGGAAATGTCATAGCTTCAGGAAGTAACACAGCGGACCTTGTGATCTCATACCTTGAGTCAGGCATCAAGCAAGTTAGTTAATATCGACGGTGTCTGACCTATCTTCTAGCATTGGCAGACTATATTTCTCACACTATGTTAGATTTAAAATGATAGCAGTGGTTGGCAATCTCTTTATAAGCCTAAGCATTAACCAGGCATCCAGTATTCGAGCTGTGTAAAGATGGGCAAGGACAAGGAGTGCAAAATAATTCTGATCGCCTGAAGTGTTCGTGGTTATTTTGAACAGTAATCATTGACATATAGACTTGCTTTGGCAATAAAACTGGAATTTCTTGAGATGTTATGCCATGTATAATTTGACCAGTTGGATTAGCCTCCCAAGCTGCATGGTGCTCGAGGTGTTTCTTTCTGCCCACACTTCTGTTGAGTTACAGTGTGGCTCTGAACAACAATGATCTGTGCGTTGCAGGGGCCATCAAGCCGTGGAATTATTTGCCTGCCATTTTGCGTTTTGCTGTTAAGTAGTAGTAGAACGTACACCACCTCTGGGACATCAACAGCCAGTTCTGACTGACACACTTGGGTGTTGTCTTGTTCAACTATCTTGGGATGGGCAAGCGAAGTCTTCCTGGTGATTCATCTTTACCACTACTGCTACTTAGTAGTACTACCTTTATGCTGTAAGAGGCACAGTTCAGCATGCCAACTGACCGAAGGTCTGTAGGTTGAAGCGAAACTGGAAGTCCTGTGAGAATCCAGGCAAAAGATATCCTTGTACGGGATGCGTGCTCCACTTGCAATGTGCATAATTATGTTCCTCTCTTTCATCTTTGGCCGGTTGGCCATCTTTTGACGTCTAGGGTAGTGCTCCATAATTACCATGATCCGCAGGATTACATATGATGCTTCAAGCTTAGGTTTGGATCATACTCCTACATATGTGGTGCACATCATTGTCCTCGTTTGAAAAGGTACGTTCACCTCTGTAGACGTGCAATGAAAGCCGAGGTTGTGTAGTAGTGCAGCTCCCTAGAATCAAGGAGGCATTACAGTAGAAGGTAAGAGATGAGTTGGAATGGAAGGGTACATTGGGGCCAATGTTTTGGTTCCCAGAACTGATATTTGATTGTGCTTGGTGCAAGTGAGAGAGAAAAAAGGCAGTTGCTTCCTTTGGAACTTTAGGGCACAAGAAAGCATGAGTAGGGCACTCCTTGGAGCCTTTATGTCCTTCACTGCACTTTTCTTCTTGGGCACAGCCTCCCGTATTGTATGAGCATGGCGGCCACTGACCATAAAGGAGATGGATAGATAACAAAGCAAAAGGTTTGGTTTTGCCCTTAAAAAATTCCATGTCTGGAGGACTGGATAGATAGCTTGACCGCCTTATCCATGAAGCTTGCCTCCGAGTGTTTCATGTTCCTTGTCTGAAATAGAAAATAGAAGTGGTGCATTTCCCCGATTCTATAAGTGGTGCATTTTAGCTTGGCATGCATGCACATTTTGCACCGGCAGCGACACGGCTTTCCTGCTCATGCTGACGCAAAGACGCCGATGGATGGATTCAGGCAGCTATACATTTTTCTTACACCCAGATCTCACCTAATGCCGTCCATGGCCTGGATTTCGGCCGGGCGCCAAATGGTTTCCTTGGGCCTATCACATGTTCTGAGACAAAACAGGGAGCGTCATACAAGGACTAAAAGCAATCTTGCCTACCAAGCCTAGGTTTTATTTAACGCCAGCCTTTGATTTGTTCAACGCAATGGCATGGACCGAGACTCCCGAGAGCCGATCAAGCCAAACGCTAGGGCCATTAACCAAAAGGATCTCGACAGGAGCTGGGCTTGCTAGCGCGCCGTCTCGAACATGGCAAGTGGGTGACGACAGGCGCAGTGTTAGCTATATATGTGTGCACTTGTAATGGCAAATGTACCATGATTGGTTTTGGGATGCGTGGATTGCGGAGATATATATCTTCCTTGGCCACATGGCCACTGGGTAATCTACTAACCCAGCCCCAAAATATACACATAACCCTAGCTGAAAGCCTACCGAGCGCCGATGCTATATCACATTACGGTAGCACTTAGCCGGCTTGCTCGTGACAAGAGGGTAATGCCTTTGAACTGTCCCTAACACATTTGTGCTCGACAGCTCGAGGACTAACAGTTCTTGTTTTGTACCCGCACGCGAGCCCTTTTGTTGATACATGCATGGCATGGTAGTTGTTGGACCGAAGCGTTGTCGTAGTTGAGGATTTTTACTATTTTCTCGTCTGGTTCTTGTCCTGTGCGCCGAACTGTGGATATGCTTCAGTTGGCTGCATGTGTGCTGCGCGTCGCTCCTGGCCAAGTCATGATACAATAATCTGAAAACACGCCATCATCCATGCGGTGGACGTGAAGAGGAACAGGTCGCCGGTAGAAACAGTCGTCTTCAGCTAGCGGCACACGGTAAAGGTTTCGCCCGGTTCACGTAATCGTGGCGTCTTAGACATAGGTCTATAGTAAAAAAAAGAGAGAGAAAATCTGAAACTTTGACAGATATGGTATAAGATTTTGCTAAAATTAAGTCGCCTGAGATTTTTTTTGGTTTGTCTACGTTGATGTCCTGAACTGTCCGATGTTTCGCGCTGAGATTTGCGCAGGGTCGAGGAGAAGACGCGCTCTTGAGAAATCGTCCGCTGCAACACGTCCGAACAGCGGAACAAAACTGTCAGAGACGTACGCCACAGTGCAACGTGGCCATGAGGCCCATGACCAAAAGCACACCGTGGAAAGTAACTACTTGAGCGTGGCAAGCGACAAAGTACGTGCGTACGTACGACCATTTCTTTGCATGTGGTTTTTGTCGACATTACCATGTCTCTGCATCTTATATTAGCGCCACAAGAAACGTACGGGGGGGTAAAACAAGCAAGCATGTAGTAGGAGTAGCACCGAATCTTGTCAGCATAAATGGTGGATCTCAGCCTCAACCAAACACAGCGGGAGGGCACACGGTTAAGCAAGGAGTGCCACCCCTGCTCCACTGTTTCGATCTCCATTTAGCACAGAGCTAATGTCGTTTGTAATCCGAGCATCGGTTCTAGAGTAATTTCCATTCTTACCATTACGCGTAATGATGGACACCGCATCCGCCCCACCCGCCGACACGTACGTGGGCTGGGCGGGTGTGTCATGCACGCCATGCAACAATACGCATCAGCATCAAGGCAGATTAACCTAACTGCATGCAATGCAACCACATCCAATTAATACGTACCACATGCATGGCGCAGCTATACGTGCCCGGAGGCTCACATGCACACATCACGGTCCGGTTCCACTGGAGAAGTCGAGATGGAGCTAGCTAGCGGAACATTTGGGCCTGCGCGCGCGCCACATGAGCCTACGTATATAGTACAACCGGGTAGCCACCCCTAGCCTAGGCCGGTTGAAAGGAGCACGGAGTTAAAGCTAAACTAAGCCTGAGTTGACCTCACGTGGTGGTTACCTCCACGGACACCAGGATCAAAGCGGATCTAGCAAAATGATCCGGGCCCTGCGTGTCCCGGCAGCACGAGTTGACCCGTGCCGGTTTTCTGACGACCCACCCGGCAGCCGGCAGGCACCGGCACCGCACACGGCACGCCACCGCGCGCAGAGATCCCGGTCCTTTTGTTGCATCAGATTATCTTGTTTCCTCTCTATACTTTCTGGCACTCGATTAATTCCGCGTGCGTACGTACGTACGTAGGTTAGCAGCCAACCGTAGTGGCGAGCGATCAGCTTTATTTATATTCCCCTGGCTATGGCCCTCCTCCGATCTCACATCGGTCAGTTACATCATTCACGCACACAGCATGTTCTTCGTGGCTGCTATGGTGGTGCCGGAAACAGGTTACGGGTGTTGATGATCTTTTCAGTTTTGTCATGTCGGTTTTTATGTGGCTTGTACTTTGTTTTTCATGATATGAATGAGACACGCATTACCATGCAAAACAAAAAGATGGACGGATGTATTGTCAGGTGTGCGCCTAGACAGACAGTAGACAGCCATTTCTTTTCTTTTCTTTTATACATAACTTTCTTCTTTTGTTTTTCTTGCTTTGGTGCGTACACCTTGGTTCGGATCTGCGCCTGTGGACGGGAATATCTGCAGCGAGTAATACAATTAGCACGCACGTTCCTGAGATTGTGAGTATCTACCTACCTAGCTCAGGTACTCACGTACTGGTAGTATAAGCACTACGTACTTCGCAAGTGGCTCACACTTGATTAACGCTAGCTAGCCTAATTAGTAGTACTATATACGCGCGCATGATGCATGCATGCATAATGCAACACAAGGCGGGAGACTGGAGGGGGACCCCATCATGATAGTAGTACTATAGGTTAATTTTGGCTTTGCAGGCATGTGGGCGACGTGTCCAAGGTTTCTTTGGCCGCCTCAGAATCTTGGCGTCGTCCTGGTGTACGTACATGATGCGGAGAGCAAGTGTATGCGTACATACGTGACAAGTTGACAAGTGCATGCCACGGGAGGAAACGCAAGTTGGTGGCAGTTTTCCGTCGAAAGGACGGGGCGATCGTACGTACGCGCTGCAGACCTCAGCATGCATGATATACTACCGTCTACTAGCTTGGTTAGGCGTCTAGCGGGTTGTGGGCTCTGCGTTCTTCTCTACACATCGAGTAGGAGTTGTATGCATGCATTGCAAGAGTACAACGGATGCACTTCACGTGATCGATCAAGCAGCCCCCCAAAAACAATGTACGCTCCAAATGCCACCGTGCTGCTATGGTAAAGAACGGTGGCAAGGACCCAAGTGAACCGAGCACGTCGACGGCGAAAATATCTGAGCAAGCAGCAGAAGAAGGCCAGCGTAGTGGTTGTGGTGTACCGTGCGCTCGACATCACCGTATCTTTTGCTTACCCATTCCAGTGCAGGCCGTATGCATCGGATCGTATGCATCGATCTGGTGCAGAGGCCGGGGTATCCCCTTTAAAAAAAAAAAATCCATTCCAGTGCAGGCGATCCATTTCTGTTTTCGGGCATCGGTTGACCGTTCGCCCCGGACCCCGTGGACCACGAG